AGCAGTAGAATTCCTCAGTATGAGCAATTCATTTTCTGTTAATACTGCATAACTCATAGCAAAATGCAAGGCACACTCACCTTGTACATCAGTATTTTTGTGCTTTAGGCACTATAAATGAAGTGAAACATAGTCACTGTCCTTTTCAAGACAGCTCTATGTTCTATATTTGTGGCCATGGGAATTTTAGGTGGTGTCTCTGTAAGATGCAGACACCTGCTAAGGTCTAGACAGGATATAGCACTAATCAGACCTGCCCTGGAAAGTGACAGTTCATGGTCTCTCTCTTTGCAACTGTCATTAAACAAACCATATCAAAACACCCCTTCCTTCCCACACGTGTTAAGAAAAACGGTAATAAAGTCTGCAAAGTCTTCACCAATAGATATCGTACAATGCAAATAAACCTCTAATAATAGCATAAGACTTTTTGGTTTAAAGAAGCTTGTGTTACTGTCGTTAAATGCAGGAGCCAGACTGTAGACTTGTTATTCAGCACAAAACCAGTCATCTAAAAGCTCTGATGCCCCTGGGTATAAATAATGATTACTACAGAGCCTGGATTCTGTTTTCAGAGAGCAATCACCAAGTAAACACTGAGGGATCCCTTTTGAAGAGTACATCTGAAACACAACCATCGAGGTGTGCAAGGCAAATAAAAATGTTGAGCTGCCAGATTTGGTTACAGAAGCTTCTTATTACTAAAATGTCTAGATCTACTGCTGTAAGCTCAGTGCCTCAGGGCTCTAGTCACAGGTGCTGCAGGGCCTCCTGCCCTTGTTCGGTGTAGGAGTCATCTTTGTTGGAATTTGCCCATTCGCCAAAAGAATCTTGGAAGTGAACATTTTTCTGCATCGTCTGCATGCGTTTTTTATCACGAGAGAAGAAGCTAAACCTTCACAAAAGGAGAGAGAGAGAAGTTAGGGCCTAGTGGTCTGGGGAAAAACCAGCAATCCTGAAATGTCTATGATGCGATACACAGCGCAACAAAAAACTTAAAAGAGCAAAACAATTGGTTTGTGTCTGCAAAATTAAGGCAATGAAGCCTAATGCAGTGCATGTCAGATGTTATTCAAGATGAAGGCATTGTGGTCTTTAGCTGCTTTGCTAAAGAAGCTTCATAGAAGTCTTAAATGCAGTGGACTATGCAAGTGTGCAGAGATTATATAGGTGCATTTTATTCCATTATTTATAAAAGCAGCAACAGGATTAGTTTCTTGGGATAAAGTAAAGGGATTTTCTTTGGTTTGAAAATACTATACCATGTTTTCAAGCAGAAAGAGAGAAGGGCTATTATAGCAGGAAAATTAAGCACAGTAAAGTGATTTTTAAAATAAAAATTGCTTAAAAGCACAGAGCGTTATTAACATATGCATGTAGTGTGCTTGCACAAGTTGGGCCTAAGGGTTTTAAACTAAATGCAAATAAGTTTACATATCATTTATTAGCATGCAATGGCATGCATGAGCTGACAGTCATTTAATAAGGCTGCAAACTGAATGTTTAAAAAATTGCAATGCTGACACTACATAATATCTGAAAAAGTAGGATTGATGCAAAAAACACACATTCTTTGCGTTAGTATTATTGTGGTTTATATGGCAGAGAAGTTACTAAATTAAGCAAAGCAAATCTTGTTCTTTCAGCAAGTTGTGCATTATGGCAGTAGATAGTGGGGAAATGCAAAAGTTAAGGTTCCAGCTAGAAGAGTAAGCCCACAGCTAGGCTTTCAAATGTTATGGTAAACTAAATTATATCTTGCAGTGTGTCTGCACAATGTAATCCTGCTCTAGATGCTACTACAATTCAAAGTAAATTCATGCATCCACAAACTATGTTAAGCATTTCCTAAGAACAAGTTGGAAATACTACTTCAGCTCAACACAAGTTAGTGAAATCTGTCACAGGGGGGCAGGGCCTCAACTTTTTGCATTTCCTTTCCGATTTTTAATCCGAAACTTTAGCAGCACCGTGTTTTGCAGTTAACTTCCTGTGCAAGAAAACTTATTTCAGGACCATTCTGCCACTTTCATGACTGGAACTAGTTAATTTTTTTATGCTGTGGTGTATATATCTGCCCTTCTCCTCACCCCAAAACACAGGAGGGGTGGGGAGGGCAGATCCAGTTTCCACTGAAGTTACAATGCACAGCTAATAGGCTTTCTGCTGTGCCTGTTCAGTTTGGCACCTTCAAGCTTAGTAATGCACACTACTCACTGAGAGCTGCTGTATTTACACAGTTTGTTTTAAATGTCAGAGTTCAGCCACTTGAGTCTTCTGCATTAAATTAAGTGTATTTTTATATAGACACTTCTAAATTGAGCTGAAAGAATTTTAAATATTTAACTCAAAATGTAAAGTTATTGTTGGCCATAAAAGTATGGCACGTTTCAGCCCCCAAAAGGTAGGAACATGTATAATGTCCTATTTTCCCCCCAAACATTTAGAGGGGAGGGGAGGAAGCAGTTAAGAATAAACTTTTTGCAGCAGCAAACATAGCTGTCACATAATGATTGCTTCAATACCAATCACAATGCAAAAACAAAAGAAAAATTTGCATTAACAATAGTCAATGCTCTCGTGCAGCAGTTGCCAAGAATTGGTTGTCAGATTGGTTATAAGTACAGACACTGTCTTTCAGAACACAACAGGGGACCAAAATCCCCTGGTCACATGCTCTCAGACATTTAGAGGACAGCCTATAATAAACTCTAGGAGTTAATGTGGAAGTCATCGCTATATTCTGTATAACTGATTGATAAGAATGACATGATTTTTAAAGATCATGCCAGTGCTTTTGAGACAGACAGGCCTAGCAAGCAAAAGTTAATTGATGCTAATTAAAATGTTCTTATTGAATTAGTTTCCTAAAGGTAACGAGAGATTGGTTTAGCAGGATAACATTAGACAAAAAGAAGAGTGATGAACTGAATACTAGAGAATGAATGATTGAGGATTAAAATGAGTTGGTCCTGATTGATCATTCTGATTGGCACCAAGCTTCTGTGATCCCACAGTCAGCCAATGAGAATGCAACCAGCAGCATAACTTAACACAAGGGACATGCGAAAGAAAACCACAGTACCAAACATTAAAAAAAAAATCCTACAAGGGACACAAGTCTTCTTATTGGCTGCAATGTGGGATCGTCTGGAATCAATCCAGCTGCTACCATGGGCATTATGGCTGTAAAGATCCTGGTCAGAAAAGTACAGACACAGAAGAGATAAGAGACTGGAGTGAGAAAAATAAAAAGGCATTCCATTAAAAAGAAGGAAACAGGGCAAACAAGATACATGGGTTACTTGGAATTACCACACATAGGACTTGCTACAAAGTGAAATGTGCCAGCATCACTCGAGACAGCTGACCACTGGAGATTTGGTCTGTGAGAAGTTAGTCATTGCCACTGGTTGTTAGGTTGCTATAAACATTCATAAAGAGCTCAAATCTCCATAGCGATGCAGCCCAGAGTCTTGGTGTAACCTCACTGAGAGATTATCTCAAGTGATGCAGAGCATCAGAGCGAACACTGTTTCTTTTAACAGATCTGTACCAGGAAGAACAGACAGGTATGTACATGATGAAATGAAGGATGAAAGTGCAGGTCATTAAATACACAAACAGGGCTACTGCTGTTCCAAGGACATTTGCATAGGGAAATAAGGTTAGCAGTGGCCAGTATTAGTGTTAGGGGTCTTGGAAGGGGCAAAAGTGAGAATACTGCCAACTTAAAACAAAAGCAACCAGACAGACAAGCCAGGTGAACGTTTTAAAAATGAACCTTTTGCATTCTACTTTGTTAAAAGCCCACAGATCTCCTCTTAGAAGTCCTGTATTAATTCACACACAGGAAGACTGCAACCACAGACAGCTGTATGACTCATTTAAAGGCCTTGCAAACTTTTTTTCTAGCTGACTAGTCAGGCATCAGTTCCTTTGTTAGAGTCCAGCACTGTTACTCATACAGTTCATGCAATTTAGAGGCACACTGTGAAGCTCTAGGGCAGCCAAACTTGAGAGCAGGTTACCTAGCTGCTCTGTACAACCTGCTCCATGCAAGTCTGCCAAGGCACCTTCACCCATACCTACCATAGCCTCTGTTTTTCTAAGCATTTTCTTCAGAGGCTCTCAATTTATTTTTGCACTGTGGACTAATGTTAAAGATTAAGTTGAGATCATCAGTCATTTCACTTGTGACCAAATGCCACTCTGAACTCTTCCCACCACAGCTGCTTTAGCTGCTATTCTTAGTTTCAGACAAACAAACATTGTTATATCAGTAGCCATAGCTAGGGCTTCTAGCTTTTCATGTCATGGCCCACTCTGAATTCAGACTGACACATGGGCTTTTGTGGGTTATAAAAAAAAATAAAGAAAACTTAAAGGACTATTTCAGGCATTATGTCAGGGACAAACAAGTGTGGCAACTTTAAGACAAAAGGGCGTTTTCTGCAGTGTACTAACAAAACAGAGCTAGCTATCTTAGTGCCAGTACTGTTGGGTTTTTTCTTTTAGTGGCCAACAAATATGCCCTCGAATTGTTCTAATTAGAGTAAAGATTCATTTACAGACAAGATGCCATCACAGGGTTGAAGCCCTATTAAAGTTAAAAAAAAAAAATCAAGTCATAAAGCCAGGGATATAAACATAGCATTTCAGAACTTCCATTTCCCTTCATTGGTTACAGCAACAGAGAGTCATATGATGATAGTAGTCTTATGTAGAGTTTAGATTATGGATTGCATAGGATGGTTTGGATAGGGATGATCCTGCCTCAGGCAGGGGGTTGGATCAGTGGTCTTCAACCTTTTTTCATTTGCGACCCCTAAAACATTTTGAATGGCGGTGCAGACCCCTTTGAATTGTACGTGTGGGTATTCACATACTTTTGATTGATCATAGTCATCTTTGTGGACCCCTTAGGCATAGTCTGCGGACCCGCAGGGGTCTGCGGACTGTGGGCTGAAAACCACTGGACTAGATGACCTCTGGAGGTCCCCATCCAGTCCTAGTTCTCTACGATTCTATGAGCAAATCTAGCATTGACTGCATGACCAAACTGCACTGCTTTCTCCTGATAGCAAGTACAGAGTTACAAGGGCATTCTACTTGTCCCAAAGGGTGCAACAAATCTATTTTGTCTTGCTTTACTTTTAGGCTGTGTTAAGAGGAAAAGACCAAGACCATGATTAGGCCCAGAGGGTTCTAATCCCAGCTGTGTTTCATCTTGTAGAGTGTGCTATGGTAACAGAAACACCACCGAGCTCTTCCGGCAGTGTTGCAGGTTTAGAAACTAATATTAAGTACTGCATTTACTGAGCAGCTGCCTGAATGCGCAGAGCATCAAAAACACAAGCTAGAACTGGAGAGAAAAAACAGCAGTCAACCCTGGGAACAGATGGTCTCTGAGCCCTACCAGCCAAGAAGCAGGTGACTGGTTGAGCATTGTTCCTTCCCTTTGCTTCCTAGGTGGGCTGTAATGGTGACAGTTGCAGAAGTAAACACAGAAACCGAGGACTTGGGAAACTTTCTTTTAAAAAGGATACCGTAAAGCCCTGGCACCTGTCAAATCATAGTATTTGTGGGGACTGCTGGAGCTCTAAAAATTCCTCCCAGCTCATGATGGCAGCCAGTGCCCCACCCTGAGCACTAAGGCAGTCTACCAAGGACAGGGATAGACAGGAGGAGAAGGAAGAGAAAAGAAATGGGCCTGACTGTCAGGATGCAGACTGAGTTGGAGTCCATTTCCTGTCCAGGTTAATTTAAAATTGAGATTTATTTTCTACCAATATAAAGAAAGGGACACCTCTCCATCTGCATGAGACAGAAGCCACGGGACTAAGTGGACCAGTTGAAAGGTAAGGCATGATTCATGCATGACAGGTTTACTGCACGCTTCCATGTCTTGGCAAAAACAGGCCAGGGGAGTTCTGAAACATGGGAGTGCCTTCAATGTGAAAGGAGTTTTTGCCTTTGGCTTCTTTCAACAGGTTTAACTTGCACTTCTTTCAACGTTAGTAAACTTCTGCATTTAAAGCAGGATGAGACGAGAAACAGATTGATGTGAACGCTTATTTGGAAATTCACAACTTGATTAATGGTCAGGTGGTTAGCATGGGCTTTTGAACACCCAGAAAAATTTATGATCTATTGTTTGGAGGAAGGAACTAGTGAGACAGCCAGTACAGTAATGCTCAGGCCTTCCAGCATTGCATCTCTGCATATGTTAGAACTAGGCAATCACACTAATGACATCCAGTTAGCACAAACTGCACACTAACAAAGTGTGTGCAACTTAGACTTTTGTCAAGCTTTCACTAAAAGATAAGAAATGCAGTACACATATAAGCTGCCATCTTGGTGGATTAGCTAACTGAAACCAGCCATCTTTCAAAGAGAGTGAAGCCAAATAAAATGAGGTATGAAAGATTAAAGAAAGATGAATAAAGAAGTAAGTTGTCCCATCCAAAATGACACACACTCCTTTAAGCGATTCTAGATGAGAACAGCTTCATAACCACTTCCAAGATAGAAACTAATCCAAAGGCCAAATTTAGGAACATGTTTTCAAAGAATACAAAATAAAGCATTATCAGAACTTGGCCTGTTATTGCATGCTAATTGCATAATCCAAAAACTAGGGAAATTAACCAAAAGATGCCCATTGGACTAGGATCAGATCTCAAGATCCTTCAATGGAAGGTAGTGCACAAGTGCCAGTACTCTTCTATTAAAAAAAGGTTATATGCACTTGGGGAAAGAATAGAAGTATCTTCCAAGTAAAAGAGGGCCATAATCAAGGTCATTTTTATAGTTAAAGTTTACATTATTCACAATCTGAGACTCTCTTAGCAGGTTAAGACTAATTAGGAATAAATATGATAGCGGGGTTGAATGTTGCAATGAACACATCAGGTAACATGATTTTATAGCCAAGTCCTCTGATGCTAATTGTTAACTGCACATTTTCCATTGCAGGTACACAGTTTTGTTGATTTTTTTTTGTATTATTATGCCGCACTGTAGATGGCTACAATGCTTTATAGCCTAATAAGTAGCAAGACAAGATCCTTCTGTTAGGAGCAGTAAGACAAGAGTTAGGAAGATCTGTCCCAAGGCAAAAACTAAGGCAAGGCTCTAGACTGAAGGCTCAGATGTTTAGAGAAGCTAAGAAATAGCAACTTGGTAATGGGAATGGAAGAGCTCCAGACCCTTACAGGCTCAGGTGCTTGTCTCTGTTACAATCAATGTACTCTAAAAATCCTAGGGGTAAGACCTAGAGCAGTGATTCTCAATTAGGGCGTTGTGGCATCCTGGAGCGCTCCCAGATCCTTTGAAGGGTGCTGCAAAGTGTGAGGAGATAAGGAGGTAAGTTAAGCAGATAAAGGCAGGCTCAGGATTGTCCCTACCTGAACAATCCCCCACCCTCACAGCCCAGCATGGGTGTAAAAACTTTAATATGTACATTCATTTTTTAAATTTGATGCCAAATAATTCAAAAAAGTAATGGAGGGGGCCTCGAGTCCAATGAGGGGTGCCTTGAGTCCAGATAGGTTGAGAACCACTGACCTAGAGGCAGTAGCTTGCCAGTGCTTTCCTGTCGTGGAACCACTCTATCCCTTTACAGCCTCTGCCCCAAGGAGTTTACAATTTAGAGTTAAACAAGAATACGAAAGCTCCCTGTTATCCATCCATTTTAGGCACCAAGTCTCATACTGCCCCCAGCATTTTGGATACCTAGAAAATACAGAGTCAGGCTCCAAACAACGTGGCCTGCGAGACATTGCCAGTTCTGTACTTCTATGCATAGATGGACATCTACTCACAGACTGAAGAGGGTTCCCATCAAGAGCAGGCGTTGGTGTTTAACAACTTCTTAGCTTATATTTACTCATACATGGTTATGAATTGTAGCAACACATGTTGTTCCATTTGATTTAAATATTACAAACAGTCCTCAAGAAGGAAATACTAGAATTAAATGGAGCTCCTCAGGAGCAATCTGGCCTATGGATACAAGCACATAAGACACTTTCTCTTTTCTGCATCACTGTGTGCATGAAGGGATTGAAAGGTGTTAAGGGCACTTTGTGACAAATAGACATTAAGATCAGGACCAAGTTATATATTGTTTCATAAATCCTTAAGAGTGTGCTTCTATAGCAGTGGGAGATATGACACACGATTATATCCAAAGCATACAGGGGTGATGTCACCAAGTGAATTATTTTTAGATTCAGGAAACAAACAGTTCCCCTCTCTGCCTTCCAAGAAACATGCTGCAGCATACAGACCAATTCAGCAGCCTTGAAAGGAACAGCTACTCACAGTCGTTTGATTCCTGATTCTGGCTGAGTTGAGGGTTTTGACTGAATGATGGGTGTAGGCTGCGGGGTTCTGGTTTCTTCTTCCATTTCCTCACTAAAATAAAAAAGGTGGAATTAGCATCCAGTTCTTCCACATCCCTAGAGAAACAAAAAATAAAGCTTACAGAAGTTTTGTAAGTCATGGGAAATGGAGGGGGCTTATCCCAAATCTTTCAAAGGTGGTTGGCATCTTTCACTGACTTTGTTTCAGGTCCTCAATTGCTACAATCATCAGGTCAGTAGTGGCAAGAGACAGGCTCTCTACCAGTCAGGCAAGGGGGATTTACAGGATTAATGCCATCAGAGGCAGGCCTGCCAAAGGGCTGCATCATTTTCCTGAACTCAGTCCAGGAGGGCCTCCCACCATACAGCAGTCCCTGCAGAATCACAGGCCAAGCTTAATGGCTCCCACCATCTACCATACTAGAGAAAAGGTGTTTTTTATTTTTAAATAGTAAGGTGCTGGACTGACATCCCAGGAGCTGTCCTGTCTATCCTCCAAAAAAAAACAAAAAGGTGAAATGTGAACAGCAGCCACTAGCTTCTTCCCCCCCCCATCATTATGCATCAGTGATGGGCACACTTCACACGCCTGCATTGTTTGACATCTCTCCTATTGATAGTTCTCAGGTTTCTAGGAATTTTGCAGTTAGAGAGAGGCCTAAAAACCAAGCTCCCATCAAACTCTGCGAAAATTCAAATATGAACCAAAGTTTTGTGGCTTGGAGCCATTGCAAATTTAAAATCTTAGGGGAAAACAAAGGATCAACTCTCATTGCATAGCAGAGACTATTTAAAAAGACACTTCTTTCTAGCTAGTGTTTCACAACAGAAGCTGTGGAGACAGCAGTGCCAGAGGTGACAGCTAAGATACCTTTTATAATACAAGAGCTCCTCTTGCAGCAAGAACACTTTTGACTTGAGTTCGTTCCTCTCGTGCAAGACATCCCGTAACTCTTGCAAAGTAAATCGTGGACGATTTGGATCTTTTAAATCCAGAGCCATCTTCTCCGATTCAGAGAGAGATTCATCATTGTTTGGTTCTATCTGCAGGATGAAATACAAACTTACTGCACAAGCGATACAGGCCTAAGAACTTAGAGGTGTGATGCAACCTGCCATCTCCGTGCTTATAGTTTCATAGTTTCTAGGGTCGGAAGGGACCTGAGCAGATCATCTAGTCCAACCCCCTGCCATGGCAGGAAGAGCACTGGGGTCAAACGACCCCAGTAAGCTGGTCATCCAACCTCCTCTTAAAAACCCCCAGGGTGGGAGCCTGCACCACCTCACTTGGAAGCTGGTTCCAGACCCTAGCCGCCCTGACCGTGAAGTAGCGCCTCCTGATGTCCAACTTAAACCTTCCCTCCGCCAGCTTGTGACCATTGTTCCTGGTCACTCCTTGCGGCGCTCGGGGGAACAGGGACTCCCCCAGCGCCTGCTGATCCCCCCTAACCAGTTTATAACAGGCCACAAGATCCCCCCTCAGCCTTCTCTTTTGAAGGCTGAACAGGTTCAGGTCCCGCAACCTTTCCTCATAGGACCTACCCTGCTGTCCCTTGATCATACGAGTGGCCCTCCTCTGGACCCTCTCGATGCTGTCCACATCCCTCTTAAAGTGCGGCGCCCAGAACTGGACGCAGTACTCCAGCTGCGGCCTGACCAGTGCCGCATAGAGGGGGAGGATCACCTCCTTGGACCTGCTCGAGATGCATCTGTGGATGCACGACAAGGTGCAGTTGGCCTTCCTAGCCGCCTCCCCACATTGCCGACTCATGTTCATCTTGGAGTCAATAATGACTCCCAGATCCTTTTCCACCTCCGTGCTGACAAGAGGGGAGTTCCCCAGCCTGTATGTATGGTGCCGATTGTTCCTCCCCAGGTGCATCACCTTACACTTGTCTGTGTTAAACCCCATCCTGTTCTCCTCCGCCCATCCTTGTAACCTATCTAGGTCCAACTGTAGCCTGTTGCTCCCCTCTATTGTGCCCACATCCCCCCACATCTTAGTGTCATCAGCAAACTTGAACAGGGTGCTTTGCACCCCCTCATCCAAATCACTGATGAAGATGTTGAACAGGGCGGGCCCAAGGACCGAGCCCTGTGGGACCCCACTTCCCACGTCCTTCCAGGTTGAGAAGGACCCATCCACTACCACCCTCTGGGTGCGACTCTCTAACCAGTTGGCGACCCATTGGACTGTATGGGTGTCTACGCCACAGTCCCCCAGCTTCCTAATGAGAATGGGGTGAGAGACAGTATCAAAAGCCTTCCTGAAGTCTAGGAAAACTATATCCACTGCCACCCCTGCATCCAATGATTTAGTGACCTGGTCGTAAAAGGCCACCAGGTTGGTCTGACAGGACCTGCCGCTGATGAACCCGTGCTGGTTGCCCCTGAGCATGCCGTTCCCTGCTGGCCCCTCCTGGATGCGTGCCAGAATAATTTTCTCGAACAGCTTGCCCAGGATCGAGGTAAGGCTGACTGGCCTGTAGTTCCCCGGGTCCTCTTTCCTCCCCTTTTTGAAGATGGGAACCACGTTGGCCCTCTTCCAGTCCTCCGGCACCTCTCCAGAGCACCACGAGTGTTCATAAAGCCGTGCCAGGGGACTTGCAATGACCCCAGCCAGTTCCTTTAGGACTCTAGGGTGAAGATCATCCGGGCCGGCTGACTTAAAAACGTCCAGCCCCTCCAGAAGCTCCCTAACTAAATCCTCACTCACCCTAGGCCCAGGTGAGCCTCCCCTGGGGCCCGAAGGGGGCCCAGCAGGGAGGTGGCAGTTCTGGTCCTTACTGAGGAAGACAGAGGCAAAGAAGTTATTAAATATGTTGGCTTTGTCATCTGGCGTGACAACCAGATTCCCCGTCTTGTCCTGCAAGGGCCCCACATTTCCTGGGGCCTTCTTTCTACTCCCTATGTATTTAAAATATTTTGCTTCTGACAGAGCAGGATAGCATGACGTGTCCAAATGGCTATGCTAGAGGACTGCCATGGAAAACAAGACCCTTACTGCATTGGTGCTCATGATTCCCTGCAGAACAATCAAATATTAACAGGCTGCAGCCTTTACCATGCTTGCCATAGTCAACAGTGAACAAATGGACAGGACTGGCCTTGTTTTGCAGCTCTGAAGGATTGCCTTACCCTTACCCAGCTCATTTTCTCATGGCATCATGTGTGTACCCTACAGCAAGGTCACTGTGAAATTTCCACTGCAGTCCGCCTCCCTGCTCATAGGAATTTTCTTTCCTCCTCTGTATGTACCTCCTCTGTGTCCTTTCAAACGTGATTCATGATTTTGGATACCACAGTTTTTGAGACACTTGGGGATCCCAATTTTCAGGGTGTAGATGCTCAGCACATTCTGAAAAAACAGCCTTCTCCAAGAACCTCTTTTGAAACATGGGGCCTGGGTTTTATTAAGCAAGATGCTTTGAAGCCTACTTTATATCACTCGGCTTGCTAGACAGACTTCTGCTGTGCGGCTTGTCCGTCGCATTTCCAGCCATAAGTGGAAGGCTCCTATTGAAGATGCTGCAAGATTTCCCAAACTATATTTAAAGATGATTAAAAGCTTCTGCTTTGTTCATTCCCATAATGAAAGGATCTGTGAAGGAAGCCTACAGACGCGTGCAGCGCATTCCACTTTGGCTAGGGATAGCAGACGAGGAGGTTTAAAGATAGAAGAGCTCACTCCATCCTTCTCCTGGTAAAGTTGTACATTCAATGAATTCAGAGTTGGGAGATTTCTCTAGCTTGGGGCCTTTGTACAGTCTCTCGGCTGCATCCTTATTTCTGTGGCACTCGTCCGGCAGAACGTGGATGTAGGTGGATTCTCAGACCTCCGTGGACGCCAACTAGAGTCCCTGGGAGGGACCTCCCCAAACTGAGGCAGCAAACAGGTGATTTCAGAAGCCAGGCTGGCCTATATTTCTATGGGCCCCGCCCCTTGCCCACTGATTGGCCAATGGGCCCTGGTTGCCCCACCCCTCAGTGATGATTGGTGCAGAGGGGCGGGGCCACACAAAAAGGCAGCTCTCTCAGCCAATCAGTGGCAGAGGGAGCTGCTGCCAGCTTTTCTGCTCCTCTTTGGGCTGGTGACTTCTCCCCACCCAGCTGGGGAACCAAGATTTTATTTATAGTATTTTTTTTCCCCCTTCCCCAGTGATTCCATGCAAAGTCATGGAAACCACGGTTTCTGCGAAAATTGCAAAATCACAATTTGAGTAGGTTCCTACTCCGTGGGGCTCAGTGCAGGTGCCATGGTCCGCCTGCATCCAACTGCGTGCAGGGACTTGGCCAAAGGGACTGTGGCACAGCAGGGGGAAAGGTATTGTACAGGGTATCTTGCTATAAGCAATTGTATCGAGCAGGAGTAGGGAATCCTGGGGGGATAAAAACCTGGGGGAAACAAATGCAGAGCAGGACTCCCCAAGAGCTTCAGGAGTCTCCAAAACTTCCAGCTGCAAAAATAAATCCAGGGCATGCTGTTCCAGTGCAGTACATTTGAAACTTAATGCTTTTTTTTTTTTTCTCAAAAGCTGACTAGATGCCAGCTCATGGAAGCACTGTCACAACCTGGGATGGGAGATAGATGCAGCCGAACCCGATGCAGACGGCCGGGCTGCCCCGCTTCCCAAACAGAGAAGAAAAATTCTGCTTGTGGTTTACAGCAGCATGAAGCTCCTAACTAGGAACTTCTACACAAATCAAATCCATCTAAATATACATGCACATTTTGATAAGCTGAATGGCAAAGGATCAGAACAGGGGACTCAATCTTCCTGGGGAAAACTTCCCAAGGTTGAACACCACATGCCTAATTGTGTAATGCTGATAAAGACTTCTCTCTTTAAAGATCTGCTTTATGGGCTTCGAGGACCAATGTAATGTTAATAAAGGGATTTACCTTCAGGATTTAATAGACCAGCTTAGGAACAGAGAAAATGACTGCCTGGTGCCACAGGATTCAAATGGACAGAATCAGGATTAGAATTTGGTGAAATGTGAAACTAATAATTTATTCACCAAAAATGGCAGTTTCAGGTCAACTGAAACTGCAAAGTCATACCTGAGAACACTTCATGTGGGGCAAGGGAAGAGAAGGGATTTATTTAGATATTTTTCTTTTTCTTTCCTCCCCCAAGAAAACCCACAGGCTTGGTCTTTTTGCCTGAATTAAGTAAAAACCATACTAAATGAATACTTTTGCCAAAATCTCCTGGTCCCAATCTCCTCTTCTCTCCTGAAGTGCACTGCCTCTCAATGTTAGTCAGATTCATTTTACATCCTTCATCTATAGCGCTGTGTCAAAATTAAATCCGAGTCCCCCCACTCCACTTACCTTCATCTTCACTAGTTTTTCTTTACATCAATACTTTTTTTTACATTTTCTGACTCGCCCTAATTCCTAGGAAAAAGGCATGTGCTTTTACTTGGCATTAAGTTAAATTTGACTATAGACAAAAGGTAGTTTACCTAGCAATTCAGGAAAGCCACTGGTTTTTACCCATTTGCTTTAGGTCTTTTAAATGATCACAGAAGGTGATGGGTCTGAGGGAGAAGCCAAAGGCAGATATTCCTTGTGATAGGACTATTAAATTGCCACCTTGTCCTCCAACTTATTCCTGACCTGATGGACAAAACATTTTCAAACGGCAGCCTCTAGTTTTGTGTACTTGGGTTCTGGACCGCAAGGGCCTGATCATTCAGAAGTGCCAAGGTGGCACAGCTTTCAGACAGCTGGGCCCCAATATCTCAGGAAAAAAGAAAACATTCAAACATTCAAAATTAGTCTGGTCCCAAGCATCTGAGGCAAGGCCACTTCTGAAAAACCTGCACTTCACCTATCAGCAAAACATTCCCTTTCACTTGTGAGCCAGGTGAGAGGACAGCAGATCAATGTGTGTCCAAATTCAGACTCTTGTTATCATTGCAATGAACCTATATTTAGGAACGGCAAGAGATGGATACTCCAGAACACGAAATGCTCAAAGAAAAACTTAGTGCCCGCACTTTTACACCTAGGTCAGATGCATCAGTTCAGGGCC